TAAGAGCTGGCCAAACACTTCAAACAAGTCTGTGATCTGCTATTTGGGACTGAGGGGGTCCCCAAGGGGGACTCACTAACAATGCTGCAAAGTGGAAGGGGTTAAATTGTCCTGTTTCAGGCACACTGACTGCAATTTATCCAGGTGCAGTCCCGTTCTATCTGGGCTGAGTCGTAAGCAGGAGCAGGCGGAGCGGATGAAGTATAGTTTTGAATAAAAGAAAGTGTTCTTTTCTTGCCATGAATAAAAATTAAAAAAGACAAACAAACAAACAAACAACAAAAGGAAACTGCCCCCAAGCTTTCTCATTTAGCCGAAAGTCAAAGATTACAGGTTCTCCACCACCATTGTTTAGAGACTGCAGAGAATGCTGGTGTTCAAGCTGACAGCCCTGTCTGAAAAATCTGCAGGTAAAAAAAAATGAACAAAGCACAAACACCAAGCAGAACTACTAAAAGCAGAGACTGCATTTAATGAGAAATGATGGCTGCCACCCCCATGTTCATATAGGACTATAAAATTATGCAAAGGAACCAGGACAAGATTATAATAGACTGATCTCCGTTGTGTGTATATCTAAAAATGTAAAGAGATTAAAGCTGTCGTTTTACGCATCCTGCGGGGTCCTCTGTATTTGGAGTTCATATTGTATTATCCATCCCTGCGCTACAAGGAACAAATAACTGTTAGACATAAGACAGAGAACAAAAAAATTCACCTCTTTCTCTTCTTCCATCCTGAGCCGTTCATCATCTTTGCGCCTCTCTTCTTCACGCTTCACCTCCACTTTCTTCCTTTCCTGACGCTCAGCTTCCTCAGCCTATGGAGACCAAAGGGAATATTTTACTAAAGCACAAATACAAAAAGGATATGCCTGATAAGCTATTGGAATGCCACATTTCTAATGCAGTCTCTCAACCTTTTTTACCATGGAGAAAACCTTGGAATAATGTTCAGGTCTCAGGGAACCCCTGCCAGTATTTACTATATCCAGAGCTCACGGGACATTAGCCCCACCATACTCATGGCCAGTGGAAATCATGCCATTTTATACTTGTGGTCAGTGTGGCTCCCCCATAATTTAGTGGCCAGTGGGGGGAAAGAGCCTTACGTTGGTGGTCAGTGGAAAGAATGAGCCTTACTCTGGAGGTCAGTGGGGAGAAGGAGCCTTATTTTGGTGGTCATTGGGAAGAATGAGCCTTACTTTGGAGGTCAGTGGAATGAACGCTCCTTACATTGGTGGTCAGTGGGAGAAATGTTACCCTTACAAACCGCTAACATGATCACTGGTGCCAGTGGTTATGTAGTTGAGAAACCAAAAGGAGAAGTTCCGCTGGCCCCATGCTGCTGGCACTGTGGAGTGGCATTGGTGCTGGACACAAGTCAGAAAGGAGATCCACCTGTCACTGCTCACTACCCAAGGAACCCCTAAGAACCTCTATAGAAAACCTAGCGTTCCATGGAACCCTGCTTTAGAAAGGCTGTGATAATCTTTTACCCAGGGAATCTCAGTTCTCACAATGTAAACGTTGGGAAAACTTACACAAGAAAATGCAGTTTTTGGGGTTATAGGTTATATATGTACTGTATATAGTACATTAGGGTAGACTACAAAACCTAAAAAACATAATAAGCAGAACCAAAGCTTTGCCGTAAAAATGCTTTGGCACTCCAGGGGATTTAGGGAGAAAAGGGCCCAAGGTTAAGTCATACAAATAAAAAGTGAGCATCATAAGCACACTCAATAGCGTTATATGGTTTTACACTTCCAATAACTGACTAAATTTATAGAGATCCGCAAAAACACAAATACACACACACAGTACCCACAAACACACACAAGGGCATATTTATATGTGGCATTCCCCAAACATTCACAGTTGGTTAATCATCCCCTAGAATTTAAAGCACATGCACCAGAAAGATTCGCCTTTAGTGAATATTTGGTGTATGTCACATTTACTGCTTCATATCTGCCCTCTTATGTAAACATGCGTACCAATATGACGCACAGGTGTAACAGTTTAGTAACTTACAAACTCATCAAAAACATAAAACAAAGTTGAACCCAAATCATTATAGTTTCCATCTACGTCTTTACTTTGTGAGACACTGAGGAGCATGGCTGGGGTGGAGTTTTGCAAATTCTTGTGTGGCGATCTCCTGGGCAACTACTGGGTGATTAAAAGGGCCATTGCCCCTGCAGAACCTAAGCACCATTTTTTGGTGGGGGGGATTTGATCTATCAGTTCCCATTCCCCAGTGGGGGGGGGGGGAAAGAGTCCCTGTTACTGGTCAAGCGGAGATTTTCTCACCTCTCGTTGGGCTTTTCTAGCTTGCTTCTCTTCCAACTTCTTCTGTTTCTTAGCGCCAATCTTGCCAAGAGCCTGGGTTTCCTGGGAATCTTCATCCTGCTCCTCCTCCACCACAGCTACAAAAAAAAATGAAATCATATATAAAAAAGGGTTATCCATAAATACACACATTTACCAATCACATGATTATTGTAAAATAAAATTAAAAAAAAACAGGAAGCGAGAGTTAGTTCTGCTCTTCCTATCACTTCTTGGATTATCAATAGGGTGGCAGAAGGGTAATGTCACTTACCCCTGGCAATGGAAGCCTCCTATTGGCGATGAGAAAGGAAGCGGGAGTGTTAACATTGCCATCTTGTGCGGAGTTAGAGGCCCCACCCCAACATCCTTTACAAACTTTGCTAAGCAGGCGTCTCATTTGGTGGCTGGTGGATATAAGGACCATTCATACTCGTTTATAGGGTCTAATATGTCTTTTCACAAAAGCAATTCCCACGAAGTATGCATGAACACAGGTTACGTGTAGTCTGATGATCAGTCATTTGTAGGCCATGTATTCGTACATCAGCTACAGCTTCCTATCCAGCAAGAACAGCGAGCGGCACAGTGACATCACCAAATTTTATCAGACTCATGAGCCTTAGATGATCTCACATGGTAACTATAACCCCAATTCCAAAAAGGTTGGGATACTGTGTAAAATCTATATAAAAAACATAATGCAATGATCTATAAATCTCATAAACTTACATTATATTCACAACAGAAAATAAAAAAACATATCACATGTTTAAACTGAGAAAATGAACCATTTTAAGAAAACAATTAGGTCATTTTAAAATTGGTGGCAGCAACACGTCTCAAAAAAGTTGGAACATGGCCATGTTTACCACGGTCTAGCATCCCCTCTTCTTTTAACATCACACTCTTATGTCTGGGAACTGAGGAGACCAGTTGCTGGAGTTTTGGGACAGGAATGTTGTCCTATTCTTGCCTGATATAGGATTCCAACAGTCCTGGGTCTTCTTTGTCATATTTTATGTTTCAAGATGCACCAAATATTTTCAATTGGTGAGAGGTCTGGACTGCAGGCAGGCCAGTTAAGCACCCGGACTCTTCTACTATAAAGCCCTTCATCTAATGCGGTTTATCATTGTCCTGCTGAAATATGCAAGGCCTTCCCTGAAAAAGACGTCTGGATGGGAGCATATATTGCTCTAAAACCTGGATATATCTTTCAGCATTGATGGAGCTGTTCCAGATGTGCAAGCTGCCCATTCCATATGCACCCCCATACCATCAGAGATGCAGGCTTTTGAACTAAGCACTAAAAACAAGCCAGAAGGTCCCTCTCCTGTTTAGCCTGGAGGACGCGGCACCCATAGTTACGAAAAAGAATGTCAAATTTCCATTCGTCTGACCACAATTTTCCACTTTGCAACAGAGCATTTTAAATGAGGTTTAAATTAGGTTTGGCCCAGAGAAGATGGCTGCGTTTCTGGATCATATTTAGATATGGTTTCTTGTTTGCATGATAGAGCTTTACCAGGCATTTTTGGATGGCACGGTGAAATGTGTTCACAGGCAGTGATTTTTGGAAGTATTTCTGAGCCTATGCAGTGATGTCCATCACAGATTCATGCCTGCTTTCAATGCAGTGCCCTCCGAGGGCCCAATGATCATGGGCATCCAATATTGCGTTTCAGCCTTGTCCTTTGCGCACAGAGATTTCTCCAGATTCTCAGAATCTTTTGATGATATTATGTTGTGTATATGATGATATATTTAAAGTCTTTACAATTTTACATTGAGGAACATTATTCTGAAATTGTTCTACAATTGTTAGATGCAAAGTGGTGAACCTCTGCCCGTCTGATCTTCTGAGACACTCTGTCAGGGTATGGAAGGAGCATCTTAGAGAGTCAATCATGTTACTGACCTGTTGCCAATTAACCTCATTAATTGCAAAATATTCTCCCAGCTCTTCCTTGTTAGTACCACTTACTTTGCCAGCTTTTTGTTGCCCTGTCCCAAATTTTTTGAGACGTGTTGCTGCCATCAATTTCAAAATGGCCTTATTTTTTCCCTAAAATGGTTAATTTGTTCAGTTTAAACATTTGATATGTTTTCTATTGTGAATAAAAAATAAATGAGTTTATGAGATTTGCAGATCATTGCATTCTGCTTTTATTTTAGATTTTACTCAGCGTCCCAACTTTTTTGGAATTCGGGTTGTACATAGCTATGAGGCCACACAGCAGAAGTGCCTAACCCAGGGCTGGACAAATCCCAGGGGCCAAGTAGCCAGTGCACATTAAAAATTGCAGTTGGCGTCTAACATTTGAGGTTTTGTCTAGTTGTCAGTAGAGGTGGCTCCTAAAAAAATCCTACTGGTTCCTGGATTGGACAGACTGGACCCTGAATTTCATATCAAATCATCCACCCCTGGCCTAAGTACATAAAGTGCACCACTATTTTTCAGCAGATCTTCAATTATGAGTTCAGGTCCACCCAAAGAATGCTTGATATCAACACTGGTCTTATAAAAAGCACAGACTAAATATTGTGGTCGGTATGACCTCCAGGTCAGGCCAGACAATTCCTGTGTGCTCAAGGCCGGTGTAAAAAAACAAATTGTGAAAACAAGTTCACACGATGAAAGAATTAAGTGTGATCATGTTTGGTGGTATTTTATGTGCTGTAGTGAAGGAGATAAGCTCCACAACCCAGCAGGCCACCCACCTGTGGTGAAACTGAGAGCACATGTTCTCCACCCACACTCTGTCTGCTCCTCGCATGTGTCTTCATGCTCAAAGACAAGCCCAGTATACAGACAAATGGACAGGTAGTGTATACAACACAGCAGTACAGTGTATATAATCATCAGTTTAGAGTTTTGCCTCCATCCAGGCATGCTCTGCCATGCTGCCCAAGCTTTGCCTCCCAAGCGTGATGAGAGGACTCTTATGTAAAGGTGGGATTGAGGACTAAAATATGAAGGGGCTTCCGATATGAAGGGTTCTCCTACTATGGAGTGGGGACTCTAATGTAAAAGGGAGATATGTGAAAGGGGGGCTCTGATGTTAAGAAGACTCCCAATGTGAAAGGGGTACCCCTACTTTTGTGTTTTTGCATTGAGCCCCCCTTAAAAATCCATACCAGGCCCCCATCTAGGATAAGAGTCTGGTATGGATCTCAGAGGGACCACATGTCGTTTTTCACATTTACATTTTTTTTTCTTACTTTTTAGACTGAGGTGCATTGAGATTTTGCATACTTTTAGCCACCAACGTATGCCATATGTTGGCAGCAGCGGGCCCCTGTAAACAGGCTGTTTACATGTGTAAAGCTGATTGTCGGCATTACACTGGAAGCAATTCTGATGGCTGTAAAGCCACCTAATTGCTTCCAGGGGCTGGTGAATGTGTACCCTCCCACCCCGCCTGACACCCCTTTGCCTTGCTTCCAAGCTTTACTGCCTGCTGCGGGTGTCGGTGGGTAGCGAGGAGAGCGGCGAACGTTCGTTCGCCGATCTCTTTCCCGCTGAATGAAACTGGAAGCGATGCTGATTGCATCACCTCCAGTTTCTGAGCTGTCACTCCCCGCCTAGAGAAGCTAAAAAAATAAAAAAGTTAAATAAAATAAAAATGTAAAGGTTTTTAAAGTCCCCCATCCCCGTGAACACCCACATTTTAACGCAAACATGCTTTGGGTGCGCCTACGCAAGAAAACCACAATTGCAGCACACATGTTGGGTATTGCTGTGTGCCCCAGAATAAAGGGAAATAATTATAGTGCCAATATTCATGGATAATTCTAAACTGATGACCTGTACAGGCTTTTAAAGCGTCGCCTATGGACAATTTGGGGTACCGTATTTTTTCGCCATTTCACAGGTTTTTAAATTTGGCATGTCTGGTATCAATTTACTCGGCACAACCTCATCTGTTATATTTTTCATAACAAATGGGTATTATATTGTGTTTAATTAACTTAAGTGTATTTATTACTGAATTTTTGGGTCTGATAAGGAGCTGTGCTAATATCATGCAACATACATTCTGCAACTGCCACCACCATTTTGTTCTACAAGGTCTCCGCTTTCAGGAAATATACAATTCTTGGGGGAAGCTTAAAGGATAATTAAAGCCTCTGTTTTTTTTGCATAGATCTACTGTTAGCAAACAGTAGATATATGCGAAAGTGTAAAAAAAAGAAAAAAAAAGGCTTTAACAGAGGCTAATACTCACCTGTGTCTTCCCCGCGTGCTCCCGTCCGAAAATGTGAAGATCCTCGGGCGGCCGCAAAGCATATTTGGGCGGGCGCATGCGCAGTTCGCATTTTTGGCCGGGAGGCGAGGAGAGACACAAGGTAAGTCTACGGACGCGTGCACCCGCATGCAGACAGGAAGTGCCAGCAAGGACAGAGGAGTCAGCGCTGGATCGGAGACCTGCCGCAGTGCTGGAGGGACAGATGAAAACGACAGGAAAGAAGAAGATCGGATTAAGAGATATAATTTAAGGTAAGTGCTAACATTAACATTGGGGGAGGGGAAAAAATTGACTTTAATGTCACTTTAAGTAATTTTCAGGCCTAAAATGCGGTTTATAACACTAGTGCAAAAAAAAAACAGCTCTGGAAATGGAAAAGTTAAAGTGACATTAAAGGCAAATCCTCCCCCGCCCCCCCCCCAATGTTTGTGTAAGGACTTACCTTAAATGATGCCTTTTAATCCGATCATCTTCTTGCCTGTAGTTTTCAGATGCCGATCCAGCGCTGACTCCTCTTTTCCTTAATGTCCCAAGATGTCTGCATGGGGGTGCACACTGCTCCATAGACTTACCTTGTGTCTCTCCTCGTCTCCCGGCCGAACATCTGAACTGCGCATGAGCCCGCCCCAAGATCCTTTGCGGTCACCCGAGAAAATGTTCAGATGTTCGGACGGGAGCGAGCGGCGGAGACACAGGTAAGTATTAACCCTTTGAAAGAGTTTTTTTTTTTTTTTAAATAGTTTTGCATATATCTACTGCTGTCTACCCGTAGATATATGCAAAAACATGCAAGGGTTTAATAACCTTTTAATGGGTGCCATGACAGAAAAATACGTTTTTAGGAG